ATCGTCATCTGTAATATGGTGAGCCTAACGTTATCCCCACAGGTTGTTATAAGAATAAGGTGCCAAGCACACTGCCAGGCAAACAGTAGGTGCTCAATAAATGTTAGTATTCCTCCCAACAGTCCTTTCTTTAGCTCCATACAAAGGTGCATCCCCAACTGAGTAACACTATTTTTAAGAGTTATTACTTTAAGAAATAAAATTCTCTATACCCTAGCCTTTATGCCTGAAAGGCAAATGATGAGTTTATGTAATGGGCAAATGTCACCAAATGGCACCAGCTTTGGGAAAGAAGAGGCTGGTATTAGCTGTGCATTTCAAAGGTTTTTTTTTTATTTTTATTGAGTCAAAATTGGTTATACATATTTTGGGGGTTCAACATTGAGATATGTTGATCGGAACAACATTACTAGCATATATATTGTAACAAATCATAATTATTCTTTATGCCCCTTGTCCAATCTCTCCCTATCCACGTCTCCCTCCCCCACCCCCCTCTAATTCCCCTAGATTTCTTCTCTCCCTCTGAAAGAATAATGGTTATTCTGTTGATTTGTTGCCTAGATGATCTGTCCAATACTGAGAGGTGTGTTCAGGTCCCCCAATATTATCATAGAGCAGATGCTTCTTCTGTCACTCTGAAATGGGCTCTATGGAAAGAGATGTCCTCTTCTTTTCTTATCTCTGCTGGTGACTCTGCTTGTGTCAATGCACTACAGTGGCTGGCAGACCATCTGCGTGGTGATTGTGGCATCTAGCCACTTTTGCGGCAGCCACGTTATTGTGGTGGCTGTGGTGGGCCACCCACATGGAGGTGATATTTTTGGCATGTTCCTGTGTGCTGCCAGTGTGCCTGGTTGTGGTGAGTGTCCAGTCCTGGCTCCATGCCTTGGGTCCCTGGGTGGGCCCCGAGGTGCTGACATGGTGTGCCTGGTTGTGGGAGGGGGGTCTGGTCCCCTGCTCCATGCCTCGGGTTCAAAGGTTTTATGAAGTCATAGAATCTAATGCTTAAGCTGACGATGTCTTCCCTCACTGCTCCAGGACAGAGTGCGCCCCTCTCAGTTATACATCAACTTTCCATTTTCTTATAATTGTAATTATATAGTACTCATGAGATTATTTTTGTTTGTGCACTCTCAAGAGCAAAGACTATGCCTAGCACAGTGCCTGGCACATAGAAGATGAATGAATGAATGAACAAAGAAATTTTTACTTACTTTATCTCCTATCAGCCATATATCAATTCTATTAGTGTATTAGCCCATTCTTGTTGCTTATAACAAAATACTTGAAACTAGGTAACTTATAAAGAAAATGAAATTTATTGCTTACAGTTTCAGAGGCTGGGAAGTCCAAAGTCCATGTGGTGGTGGTGACAGTGACCTAGGGGTCTCACATTGCAAGATGGTGGAAGCAGAGAGAGCAGAGAGAAAGACAGACTCTCCTATTCTTTTAAAACCCTCAGAACCACACCCCTGACCACCATTTTTAATCCATTCCCTACTGCATGATCCTACAATCCAATCCCCTTGTCCAGGCTCCACCTTTCAATTACCATATTAGGATTTCCCACCCTCTTAACAGTCACAGTGGGGGCTAAGTTCCTAATACATAAAACTTGGGGGACACAATTCAAGCTTCAGAGAGCTTGGGGGGGAGACAATTCAATCCACTACAATTAGGGATTCAGAGTCCACAGTTAACCACCTGCACGTTACAGATGAGGAAAGCTTGCATCACTGTCAAGGTCATCCAGTGAGTAAGTGGTGGGGCAGGCATTTATTTCAGCCCTCCTGACACCAAACCCATGTTCTTTCCTCCACACTCCTCTGCCCTTTGACTCACCAGCCTCACCCTCATGTCTATTCAGATGGTAACATACTACAGGGACATTGTTTCCTGGAGCCTATGTCTGGGTGTGTCATTTGGTGGCAAGTTGCCACATTTTGTGTGTAGAAGGTCCACTTTCTACCCTAACTCACTGAGTAATGGATATTTACTGGCTGACAACAGCCCTGTCTGATGATGGCAAAGCAAGTTCTTATAAGTTCATCCACACAAGCCTCAGGAAGCGGGGAATGGATTCCCAGAGTTGGGAACTTAAGCTGGTTAGGTTTGTGTTCTTTGTTGGGGGGACCCTTGACATTCAGCTTAAATACTTTTGAAGTTTGGTAATTCCATCCATTTTTGTTTATTTTTTTCTCCCTATGATGCCCTAAGAATGATTTTAAAAATCCACGCAAAGCACTTAGGACAATTGGGTCTCAGTTTATATTTTCAATTCCCTTTTAATTACTATCTATTCTTTACTAATTAACCAGGTTTCTGATATTCACATGCAGTAAATATCCCAACTCTCTTCTTTATCACTATGAAACCCAGTTCACAATCGAGCCTTACTGGTCTATTAAATCTGCCCCCTTTCTTTCCCTTTTTAACCGCTCTGTCTCTGGGGATCCCTGGAGAACACTTAGAGATGCATGCTAGGGAGAAATTAAACTAAATGTTTAGCCAGACATAATGGGAAAACACCTGGAGTGGGAGTAACAAAATGTGTGTGTGGGGCCCCATTTACCTTTAACTAGTCGTGCGACGTGGGGCAAGTGATCTCACCTTCATGGGTTCAGTATCTGCAACTCTGAACCTGCTCTGGTTCCTCCCCAAGCTCTTGTGTTCCTCTAGTTCATTTCATCTTCTAAACCCTTGTTTGTGCTCTTGATGACAAATCAGAGACACAGAACATCTCAAGAACCACAGTGAAAGTCTCCTTCACCACTCCAGAGCTCACTCGAGGCTCTTTATCAGACAGAAAAGGTCATCCTTAAGCCCACTGCGGTCTGGAAGTGCTTATAGCAAGATTGTCTTTGTAATAACTTCCATAAAGAGACTAGCTCAGCTGATAGGGACAGAGCAGTAACACCCCTTGAAATGTGGGTGGCATCTGCTTCCTGGTGACTCTCAGCAGAGAAGCTGCTCCATCCCTCCAAAACCACCATGGATAAGTGGCTTCACCAAAAGACCACTTCACTGAAAGTGGCCAGCCTGAAAGACTGCTTAGACTGAGGGTCAGCACAGATGGGAGATTGGTGAGGGCTGGTCTGGCTGCTGTGGCCAAGGGAAGAGAGCATGCTGGGCCAGGCCACAACTCAGGGGTCATGTACCAGGGCTAAGGGTGGGCACCTTTCTAGGGGGTAGGGTCACAGAGCGGGAAGGAAACAGAGTCCAGCACCGGGAGGCGTGCAGAGTCACTAGGAGAGACCAGGGGAGCCAGAGGCACAGATGACCTCAGTGGTGGGAATATCAAGTGGCAGTAACAGCAGCAGGAAGATTTAGGGAGTATGGGGGGCAGCAGGTTAACCAGACCTTTGACTTAACAACTAGACATAGGCTAAATACAAAGAGGATCAGAACCATGTGTATATGACTAGATATATGTATGCACATATTTCAAAGAATATAGATGTGTGAGAAAAGAAGGGAGAAATGAGCAAGTAGGTGCGAAAGGGTGCGATACCTCGCCTCACCCATCATAAGGGTCACAACCAACACTCTCATGACAAAAGACAGGTTAATGCAAGAAAAGCATAATGGGTTTAATTAATCAAAATCATACGTGACACAGGAGCCTTCAGAAATGAAGACCCAAAGACCAGGGAAAACTGTGTATTTTTAAGGCTTAGGGTGGATGAAGAATGGACAGCGTGTAGAAATGTGACTGGACAAAAGAGTAGGATCTAATGGTGATAGACTGAGGGGGAAACCCACAAGGCCTGTCTGTCCAGATTCTTCCTGGCCTCTCTCTGCAGCATTCCTTCCTCCGGGGTATGGGACAGGACTCCTCTGGAGTGAGAGTCTTTAAGGGAGAAGGGAGAGTGGCCTCTCCAGGTTTTATGGCTTGCTTTGGGGAAGAAGGCTTCTAGTTTCAAGGACTTAACTTGGAAAAAAGGGATTCTGGTTTCTGTGACTTGCTTCCGGGGAGAAAAAGGGGTGTGGACAGGAGGATAGGAGAAAGTGAGAAAGACCTTGGTTCTGAGGCCTTTCCAACTTCCTTCAGTTTAAAGTACTCAGCATGCCAAGGCACTATACTTTGGGGCATCATGTTCTGAACCCCAACAAGTACCTGACACATAGTAAGTGCTCCGTGAATAATGTAAGTCTCTTTCTTCCACTGCCACCCCAGAGAAGGGACCTTCTCCCTCAGCTTCCTAGTGAGAATGGACTGATACTATGAACTAGCACGAGCCTTGTCTACTTACCTGTTATTAGGGGAAATTCTAATTCTTAGTAAAGGTGTCCACGTGTGCTCCACTGTGCTATTTTCCTATTCTCAATTAATTTAGTTGTGTCTAAACTTTGAATGTTAGAACATAATCAGAATGCACTGTACAATTCTCAGAAATTCTGAATGTGAATACAGCCACTCAGCTGTCTTGTCCAGTCCCTAACCTGTGGACACACGACGTCCCTCCAGGCAGGCACACGACTGGGTCCCTGAAGGAGACTTTTGCCTACACCTGGCAATCGTACTTGGGGGGCTTCTAAGTAGGGGCAGTGACAGACCAGGGCCATGGCCACTGCAGCCATCTCCAGACGCACCCTTCTGGACTGGGCAGAGGCAGGCGGATGTCACTCAGGCCTGCCGGCCGCTCCCACGGGGAACTGCGTTCCCAGGTCGGCCCTGAGGCCCCGCGGAGCTCCGCTGAAGCCAGGCTACAGCTCACCTCGGAACTGGGGCGCCAGCTCTCCGGTAGGCAGGGCGTTCTTTCTCCCACCCCGCGCACGATGACATCACGTGTCTGGGGCTGAGTCGCTCCATAAAAGCATCTGGGGGGAGCCAGAAGCCCGAAGAGTGCACGTGCTCGCCACCGCACGCGGGCTGCAGGCGCGCGGTCCTGGTGCGCACCCCGCCAGCTCCAGGCGCTGCGCCGAGCGCCCCGAGAGCGAGAGGGAGCCGGGAGCCGCCCGGACAGCCGGCGCCTGCCCCGAGGGACCGCCCGACGATGCCCCTCTGCAGCCTGCACGTGGCGGCCGTCCTCCTGCTTGTGATCTTACAGGAGCAGCCTTCCAGCCCAGCCCCACTGAACGGTAAAGTTTCTGCCTGTTTCTTTCTTAACAGTCCTGAGCGCTCAGCCACACCTGGGCAGAAGGCTTTCCTGCGAGGCTCTTTAATGATACGGCAAAATAATTAATAGGGGAGCAGGGAAGGCGTAGTTATGAAATTGCACATTTTCAAAGAAGGGATGCTTCATTTTCTTTTGGAATGCACGAGCTGCTGTGGTTGGGGCTGGTAGCACGTTGTCTTTCTAACGGCGAGTGTCTTAGATTTAGTGTTAAAATGTTTGCGAGGTCTCTGAAAACCCCGAACTCTGTTGATGTGGCTTGGGAACTGGCTCCCCAGGGAGGAGAAATGGTACCAGGATTTAAAATATTTTGCCCTCCATCCACACGCAGATAGTAGAGAAGTGACTGTGACATTCTCAGTGGTGTGGTCGCCAGGAGGGTTGTAGCGCCCCAGTGCAGAACCCTCAGACAGTGGTAGGTGCTTTTCTCTGGGGGAGAGACTCTTTACCATAAGTTTTTACCTCCAAGTCAAAGGGATGATGCATCCCATCCTTAATCACTAACTGCATGTGCGTGCACATGTACACACACACACACACACACACACACACACACACCTTATTTCTGATTGTAATTAGGGTTCTCAGCTCCGAAGGGCTGGAGGCTGAGGGTGCTGAGTGGGATGGCAGGACAAGGAGGGGGTGCCACCTGAACTGTGGGCTCAGGTGGGCCAGTGGGTTATCGTGAACAGCCAAGGCCGGGCTGATTAATCTTTTGGATCAAGAAAAGGATGCCAAGTTTTTACCTGCCTCTCCAAAAGCTGGGTGAACACTTTCCTGGGGTAGTGACTTTGACAAAAGCTTCCTAGGTAACTGCTGGTGGCTCCTGCGTTCCACAGAGTTGCCCCAAGTTGTAGAGACATTTGAGGGTGCTACAGTTCCTGGACCAAGGTCAGGTTGAAATATGTATAGAAGGACCAAAAGTGACCATAATGGCTGAAAATCAATTTTCCCTGGGTAGGTTGTGGTGGTGGGAAATTGGTCCTGTTCAGCAGCCTCAAAGCTCCGAGCCTCCTTCTCTCTTGGGGGTCATTGTGCCCATGGGGAGGGCAGGGAGCCAGGCTGTGAGCAGCTATGGGACTGCTCTTAATTAAATTCTAATCTACTGTTTGGCATGATATGCTTGATATTATCTCCCTCATGTGGTCAGGGAGAAACAGAAGGTAGGTGGGAGAAAGGAGCTATGAGAGTGGAAACTGATTTTGAAACTGCGAACTTTAACGTGTGTTCCTCTCCCAAGAAAGCTGCTCTGAGACCAAAGTCTCACTAGAAATATCCTTTTTAGTCCCAAGCTGCTCCAAGACAAATGAGAGAAACAGCCATTCATCTGCCCTTTTTCCTGAAAGCCTGTTACTCCCCTCACTCTGGGGCAGTTCCCCCCCTCTTCTCTCCCTTCCTCTGCCCCCCCTCCCGATGCCCCCTGCCCCCTCTCCTGCTCCTTCCTCTCTCCCTCCTCCTGGGCCCCCCTCCCCTCCCCGTTCTCCAAACTGGGGAGACGGAAGCTTGCTGTAAAAACCCCACTGAGTAGCCAGCCTGTCTACCCCTAGATTCTAAGAACATGGTTTTTATTGTTATTTCTCCCGTGGGTTTCTTGGCTTTTTATCTGCCCCAGGGGACAAGGTCAAAGCAAAATTCACTGAGGTGAATGTCAGTATTTACCCAAGGTTGAGGGTGGAGGGGGGTTAAGCTGTGTAATGGGGTCAAAATGTGGCCTGCCCTCTGCCTGGAGCATTTAAACTTCCAGCTGGTAAATGTCCAAGAAAAAGGTCTGGTGTCAGGGAGGGAGGGTGCATAATAAGGTTCAGTCAAGTGTCTTCCAGAGAAAACCTTGGAATTCTTAGTTGCTGTGACTGTGAGGAGGGCATTTCAATGAATTCTGCAGAGTCTCAGGCTGCCTGGATGATGGTTACTCAAGGAAGGTTCTAGCACCCAGGACAGGAAGCAGGCAGGGCCCTGAACCCCAAATAGAATAGATGACCTTTTTGGGAAGGGAACGATTCCTGTCTGGAAAGGGCCTGCTCCCTCAGGAAGCCACCAAGGCCTTGACCTGTCATGGGGTCATTTAAATTCTGTTAAGACTCCTGCCCCTAAGCTAGAGGTGGCAGGCATGTTTGCTTTATACTGGAGAGGGGGACCAGGAAGTGCCATTCCCATATAAAGCAAACACACGTGCATGCGCCCATACACACACACAGTCTTCCTGAGGTCAGATCTGAGCTACTGATGAACCAGGGTGGGCCTCAGTCTTCACCTGATGAACCCTCTTGACTCACCATCCTCTCCTTCATTTTATGGTCTACTTCTCCCAGCCCTCCAGCTCCTGAGCTCCTCCAGACACTGCTTTTATACCCAAAGCTCCATGTCTTGAGGACCAAGCCCTTTTGCTCAGAGACAGGAGGGCAGGAAAGGCTGCTCTGGATACTGCTGCTTTTCAATAAGTTCCCAGTCCTGTGTCACCACCTGAGGCTCTGCAGTCCCAGATGTCCACTCTATAACATTTATCTCCGAGCTCTCCAGAGTATTATGCTGATGCCTCATCTGAGGATGAGAGCTCTATAATAATAGGGGAAACTTCAGCTTAGTTAGTTTTGGGAGGATAACAGAAGATTTAGGGTTCTAGGGCTATAATTTGATTTGGGGACAGGTGCAATGAAAACTCCTGGCCAAGGCAGGACTCCTCAGAGGCAGCATATGTTTTTCTGGAGGCTTCCAGGATCACTGGAGTGGTCTGTGCTGCTCCAGGAAAAATGTGAGGATGAATTCCTTTGTTACGTGTGGAATTTTACATCCTGGGCCTTCAATTGCTCTGCCTGGCTAAGTGGCAATAATCTGGCTTCCTATGTCTCTGAAATCAATGACTGGATTTTAATAGTGAACCCTCAAACACAATGCTAAAGAAAAATGTCCGGAAAAGTGGTTTGATGTCTTCTATAGCTTGGTTCCAAGGCAATGCTTTCTTTGTTTCTTTTCACTATTGTTTCAGTAAAAGGGCTAGTAGTAAACTTGGGGGTCACATGCAAGTTTCGTTTCCCCATGGTTCTGAATGTCTTCATCCAATTGCTAATTCAGGGGAGATTAAGAGGTTAATCATGGGACTGTTAACTCCCATGGGGTACATAGCAGATTTCAGGGTGGACCTTCTGAAATTAATTGTACATGAAATTTTGTGTATAGGCATTTTTATGGGGAAAAGATCCATAGTATCATCAGATACTCCAAGGGCTCTGACTACTCTGCCAGCTACGCCAAATATTTTTAATTTTTAATTTTTTTGGAGTAACCAGCAGCTGGCTGGTTACTCCAAAGATTGAGGAGACGCAAAGATTCCCCAAGTTCATGGAAATGAATGGTGAATGTGGAGAGTCTCTTTTTAGCAGGCACCTGGTATCGGGCGGGTCACTTCACCCCAGTGGATTTTCCTTTCCTCTCCTATAAAACAAGGTGATGGGCTGCGGGTGCGTGAATGAGACCTTAAATCTTTCTCTTCTGGGTGAAATGTCAATCAATGATGCCTAAACCTAAAAAAATCAAGAAGGAACAGTATAAGCATGTTTTATAGAGATATGGATATAATTCCAAAGGAATAATTTTAAAAAGACTCAAAGTGGCTGCCCTAGAGAGCAATAAATGGGTGGGGGGTGTTAGGGAACTAAATTTTTGTTAAAAACTCTTGCAGGACCATGTGATTCTTTAGATTATGTGCAAGTGCAATTTGATAAAATTATCAATTAAATGTGAAAATTAAAAATAAAATTAATGGAAAACACTAAGGCAGAGAAATGAAACAGAACAACAGCAAAGTGGGATTAAGCCAGATGTAAAAAACAAGAACAGAAACAAAGCAATACCCTCTTTTAAAAACCACCATTGGCTTGAGTAGGAAATGCCCAGTTGTGATAAGTGACCAGATCGCTTGTCAGTTAAGTTTTACTACAAGCCAATTCCCAAGAGAAAAAGGGGATCTGAGAATCTTTCTCTTCCAGCTGTACCTTCCCAATCATACAGGCACTGGGAGAAGCCAGGAGAGAGAGATTTAGGAGTTGCACAGTCCCCTCGTTGGATGTGTCCCCTGAGACACATGGGGGGATGTGTCTCGACCCACGGTCTCCATCTCCTTCCAGAGGTGAAGAGGGAGGTGGGCAGGCAGGGTAGCAGGAGCACAGCTCTGCAATGACTTCTTAAATACATGTTTTTATGAACGAAGGACCTTTATGAGTGAGGGGTGTGGAGTGGGAGGCGGTAGGTGACTTTCATTATGTTCCTGGCACAACTTCTCCTACACATTCCTACCACCTCTGGAATTCTAATTCAGACGAGGGTGGCAGCTTCCTCAAAGAAAAACTTTTTCCTTTTGGGATTAGTTTTCTCCTCTGTATGTTCTGATGTGAACTGTTCTCCAGGACATGTTCAGTGTGAAAAAGCAAGATGCATGACAATCTCCAGCATGCCAACATTTATGTAGGACAAAGAGGGGATGTAAATACTCCTGTGTGTGTAGCCGTACTGTCGAAGAGCTCATATAAACTGATCGACTGGTTGTCTAATGGAAGCAGAGAGACAGGGTGGAAGAGCCATCGCTGTATACGCCCTTTGACAGCCTTTGGGTTTTGAGCCACGTGAAGTTATCACCTATTCAGATAATAAAGTTTGGCTTTTCTAAGATGTCTGGGAGGTGTCTTCTTAAGAAGTTCCCTGCCCCCAAATTCATGAGCCCCTGTGGGAACTCACTGTCCTGTGCCACTGTCTGAGCACAGTTGCTCTGAGAAGCTGTTGTTCTGATACAGACTCCGAAAAAGTTTTAATTTCTAGACATCCACCTCCTTCTCAATGTCATCCATTTCAAAATAAGAACTGTAGTGTTTTTTTTTCCCAACTCATTCACTTTAATTGTACTTACTTGCTTTGTTTCTGTTCTTTGCAGGATCCAAGTGGACCTATTTTGGTAAGTAGAAATTTTAAGTACTTTTTTGATGAAATGGCTGTATTTAATGAGAAACCCAGAAACTTCATGCTCTGTGGAGGCTATTTTGGGGGGTCAGTTCTAGTATCACTGAAAGAGGGCACAAAGTCTTCTCTAAAGAACAGTTCCATGTGGGTTGCAAACCGCACCTGCTTTGTGCACTTGAACTGTGAGTCTTAATGTTAAAGTTAAGGCTTCCACATTCATGCAAGGATTTCTAGCTCACCTCCAGGTACTGCAGACTGCAAGGGCCATGGGCAGGAGAGAGTCTTTCTCCTTCACAGGACATTTATCCTCCAATAAACAAAGAATAAAGGGCTCCTTTCTGAAAGTTTGGCTCATGCCCCAGAACTTAAGCTGTGAGTGTATCTAGAATTAACTTCTTGTTGCCATGTTTGAAAGCAAGTAATGGAAGAAGAGGTGATGGTCAGTCCTTAGTGAAGGAGGATGCTTGTCTTAAATGGAAAGAGAGGAGCATCAAGTGTGCCCTGGGATTTCTGTGGGACTTGGTAAAGAACATGTTAGTCACTAGCAGGCCTGCGAGGTAAGCAGCTTGAAATTGGCCCAGCTAGATTGCTGCAGTGAATTGGAAATTTGGTCATTGGCTGGAGTGGGAACGGGAAGCCAAGTACCTGGGTCTTCTAGCAAGTGCGGGAATATTAATAACATCTTGATAGGGATGGAGTCACAGAAGGTGCACAGGAGAGATTGTCTTGGTAAGCAGGAGGCTGGAACTGACTTCACTGGCACAGGAGGCATCTGTAGCAAACAAAGATGTGCCACCAAAGTGCTGACAGCAGGGAAGCTGATTGCTACAGGAAGATCTGACCTCGATTTGCAGAGATTCGTCTTTGGAGGTTCTCTGGCGCCAGAGGCATGGAAGGTCACTGAACTGAACAACCAACTACCTATGGGTCAAGGTCCCCTCAGCTCTAGCACTCCATGGCTGCATTATTACTAACATCCCTTATGAACTTATATGCATGAGGCAGACATTGCTAAGTGGATGGGTAATTAGAAGGGTAGGCTGTGGTCTGTAGCTGGGAATCACTTAAAGCTCACAATTCAAAGCAGAATGCAACAGATAATAACGATAGATAATAAATAAATGGTTCAGTGCTCTGATTGGTCAGAGGAGGACGAGAATGCTAGGGTTGGATGGTTCAGGAGGGCTTCCTGGAGGAGGTGGGCTTTCACCTGGACATTTGAAGATGGGGAGGATTCAGTGAGGAGGGAGGAAGTGCTGTTGGTCAAGATGATGATGGCATCACATGAGCGGCAGCAAGAAGGAGCAAAGTGGTATTGAGGGAAGCTGAGAAGAGGGTCTAGAGGGGAGTGGTGGGCTGTAAATTAAGAAGGTTAAGTTGGCTCAAACAGGGGCGGTGGGAGGGGCAGGCCAGGCCTTTCCCACTTAGTCCTGTACGTGCAGGGGCAGGGCTGGGAGTAAATCTGCGTTTCAGGAAGAGTAAGGCTGTGACAGGGGGTGCAGGGGGAGGGATGGGAGGGAGGCAGGAAGGTGTCTGGCTTTTGGAGAAACCCCATTCTAAGTCTTCACATCCAATTTACAGTGAGGGCAGTAAGAGGGAAGGAAAGAGCAGGGACCCTGACAAAGAAGAGTCAACAGGGTCTGGGCCTTGGGGCCCCCAGGCGTGTTCCGTGGGTGGGAGGTGGCAGGAGCAATGGCAGTCGTGAGAAGAAGGCAGCACTTGGGTTCGCATGCCCCTCAGAGAGCCATCTGAGCCTCCTGGGTCTCACTTTCCCCCTATGTAACCTGGGAAGGGGCTGTCTAGATCAGTGTTCCTCAAACTGTGGCTTGGGGTCACCTACCTAAGAATAATCTGGAATGCTTTCCAAAAATGCAGAATTCTGGGCCTTCGCCGGGACCTGGAGGAGGGAGGGAGCGAGCCTGAAAAACCTGTATCTTTAATGCACTCCACAAGTGATTCTTAGGCATGTTCTGTTAGAAAACCATTCACCACCTAGGGCCGGCCTGTGGCTCACTTGGGAGAGTGTGGTGCTGATAACACTAAGGCCACGGGTTCAGATCCCTATGTAGGGATGGCTGGTTAGCTCACTTGGGAGAGCGTGGTGCTGACAACACCAAGTCAAGGGTTAAGATCCCCATACCGGTCATCTTTAAAAAAAATAAATAAATAAAAGAATACCATTCACCAGATGGTTCCCAAGATCTTTTTAGCCTAAGAGTCAGCAGTAACTTGCCCCGACTCTTCTGCTGGTACACTGGAAAATAAATCAGGTCTCTACAGGGCCCCCTGCCTCTCTGTGACACTGCCCTGGGCAGAATGAGGTGGTTACAGGGAAGAGAGACATTGTGTTAAGGTGTGGGAAGAAAATCTTAACTGCCACTTGGTCATGGCATGATGTTACCCGACTGAGGGCATCTCTGTGCAGCCATATCAACTGGTCTAGAAGCATCTCTTCTTGACCACTAGCTCTGACCAGCCCTCTGTCCCTCTCGGCCTGCACAATTAGAGAAGCTGTCTGCTGAGGAAGCAGAGGGCAGAGTCTAATGATGCACAGATGTGCATGGGGTAAGCATAAAGGCAAACCTGTTTTTTTATTAGTGAAATGGGCTCACGTGGTGTGGAGTGAGCTCTCAGTGGAGACGAGTGGAGAAGGACAGCTAAGGGGGCAGGCAGGTCCAGGCTGGCAGCTGGCGCCTGTGTTCAGGGTCGCACAGGTAAACAGAGGGCCCAACATAGATGATGGGGAGAAGTCCTTTCCAAACAGTAAGGGCTGCGATGGATGGGGCAAGTCCAACCAAATGCTACGTGTTGGTTTTCCCAGGATGCAGGACTTGGCTTCTTTGCACGTAGACACTGCTGAGTCATCTGCTCCAAGGCCTCCTGCTGCCTGGCGTACATGGTAGGACTTCTGGAAGTAGATGGAAAGGGAACTCTACCCCCGTTCCCCCAGCACTGAGTCACCAGGGTGACCTCACGGATGGCCCCCTGGAGAGGAGGGGACCATCTGATAGCCAAGATGGGGCCAGCCCTGCCCCTCTGGGTTCCTCCTGGTTGGCTGAAGCAGCCGTTGGGTATCTGCTGGGTTTAGAATTGCTGAGGCTTGATCACTGGACAGAGGATGGGGGTGATGTGACATGGGCCCTCCCTGCTAGAGATCAGTCCCAAATCAATCCTGCTGATCTCTGTCAGTTTCACCTGCTCTGAACTGGAAGGCAGCTGCAGGTCAGGTTGGCATGTGAGCTGAGGACAAACTCCAGCCTGCTAAAGCGAAACTGTGCTGCTAAAAGTCAAAATAGCGGGTGCCCTTGTGGGTGGAGGTGACCGGAAGGAGGATTGAAGGGGTGCTGGTCATGTGCAGTTCCTTGATGAGGCTGCTGTGTTCAGTTTGTGAAAATTCATCAAACTGTTCACTTATTATACGTGCACTTTTCTGTACATATATTACATTCAATAAAGAGTGAAATTCCAGCTGGCTGGGAGAGTCATCCTTATTCTGACAGTTTTTTTAGCTCTCTCCCAAGAGAAAAAACCAAACCAAATCAATGTGTTCAAAACAACAGAGCAAGCAAAAAGAATGACTGTGTTGGAACTAACAACCCAAGAACACATCATGTGAGCAGAGAATGGGCACAGTGCTCCATCCCTGACCATGTCACTATTGGTTTGTGCTACTTGGATGCGAGCTCATTCAGAAATAGACAAATACCACTGTTTGCTAGAAATCAGGGACAAACAAGACAAACTGTAAAGGAGATGGGATGGCAGGGGAACAGGGATGCCAAATCCCCTCCTGGCAGGTGAGTCCCACCTCTCTCTGAGTCACAGCCCCACGGGCATCCAGGAGACAAGCCCCTCCATCCTGGCGCAAAGAATTCTGGAAAGACAGTGACTTGGCTGGGGTGCTGGGTGGCTGCCTGTGGCCACTCACAGGTCCTCCTGCCCAGCTTCTCCACCATGGCTGGACAGCCCTCGGCTCTGGCAGGACTTGATGTGACCCCAGCACTATCATGCATTCCTTATGCTGCTGTCTTTTCTCCACTCCTTGGTTCCTGTCCCGGACAATAGATTCTCAGTCTTCAAGAATTTCCTTTGGGAATTAGGATGGGATCCTCCACTGGGGCCAACCTCATCCTCATGTCCCTCAGGTCATCCACGCCCATGCCTCCATCCTGCAACTGCTGGAATATTAAGTTGCTGTCAATGAACTTTTCCTGGGGCTCTGGACGCTCTTCCCAACCCTTTCCCAAACACTAAGAACTAGAAATGGAACACATGGAAGGAGGCTAGGAAGTAGATTCTACTTTCTATTCTTTTTTTTTTTTTTTTTTTTTTTTTG